TATTTTTCTAATATTTCAAATGAGTTTCTCAAATCTATATATTAATATGTGAATTCACGCGAAATTATATATATATATATATATATACATATATATATATATATATAAGCAATTAAAGATCCAAGCTAGACTGTTATAGGCTTCATATTCGTATTAGTTATGTTCTTACATTAACGGTCTTTAGTATTGAATATTGTAAATTACGAATATATTTTGTGTATTTGTAGTGGACAAACAAATCGCTGTGATATGCGAAAGTGATTCACAATGTACACCGGACATGGCCTGTCTAAATCATCGATGCATTAATCCGTGCACCGTTAATCCATGCTCACCTAATGCGGAGTGTCACATCGAAAATCATCGCCGTATGTGTCAGTGTCCTCACGGATACGTCGGTGATCCATTCATAAATTGCTACGAAGGTATACATTTTATCATTTCTCAATGTAAGTAATCGTAAGCTTTTTACATCTCTGCTTTTTACATTCACAGGAAATATAGTTCTTGCGGAATGCAGAACAAATACCGAGTGTCCGTCCGACAAAGCGTGCATAAATCAGTTGTGCCAAGACCCGTGCTCCAGCAATCGTTGTGGTCTAAATGCGGAATGCATCACAATTAATCATCATCCTTCTTGTCACTGTCAGCACGGTTTAGCCGGTGATCCACAAGCTCAATGCTTCAGACGTAAGTTTCTTACACATTTTAAAAAATTTTCACATTGCTATAAAAATGTATTTATAAATCTTAAAATAATTGAGATCATTATTTTCTTTGAATTTTTAAAAAGAACAACAATAAGTCTAGTGCATTTTAATGACAAAAGATCTCAAATATTTTGAAAGTTAATCTATTACAACAAATTTCTGTTTGGATACGTTGTACTTATTCCGAATTGTCTTTTTTCAGCACAATGTAAGGTAGACAACGACTGTCCTTACGACAAAACCTGCCGCAACGATAATTGCATCTCTCCATGTTTCATCGGTGATGTTGTGTGCGGTCGGAGTGCAGAATGTAGAGCAGTATCTCATAGAGCCCAATGTATCTGTCCGCAAGGTACTCAAGGCGATCCACGTGTGGCATGTATTTCCGCGATCTGCCATTATAACGAAGATTGCGCTGATCACGAAGCTTGTGACAGACTGAATAGAGTTTGCAGACCGGTTTGCAACGACGATGCCTGTGGTGAAACCGCAATTTGTATCGCGCGCGATCATCAGCCGAAATGCACATGTCCTCCGGGTACCACCGGAAATCCCTATATAACATGTATTGGTACGTTGATTTTTAAAACTTTATTGTTATTATACTTTATTGTCAATTTTATTGAAGAAAAATTTGTTTAAAATTAATCTATAAAAGGAATGTTAACTAAAAAGTTCTATCTAATTCTTAGGTGAACCTTTTATTGAGCCGGAATGTACACAGGATAGTGAATGCTCATTGAATTTTGCTTGTATTAATACCAAATGTCAAGATCCGTGTATATCCGCTGGTATGTGCACCAGTGAACAGCAGTGCAAAGTCCTGAATACGGAACCACTTCGTACGATGATCTGTTTGTGTCCACCGAACACGATCACTGATGTTAATGGCCAATGCAAGCAAATTGGTATATGTCAATCTTATACGAAATGTATAAATATTTTGTATTATTATTCAATAACTTGTTTAATTGACTATGGATGCATTGCAGTATTGGGCGACGTACAATGCCATTTAGATCAAGATTGCGCTAACTACGAGACGTGTCTGGATGGAAAATGTGTAGATGCCTGTTTGACAACTCAGTGCGGTTTTAATGCGCAATGTAAATCCACGTCTCATACTGGTATCTGCTTCTGTTCTCAGGACTTTACCGGCAATGCCTACATAGAATGCGTAAGAGGTATGTAAATACAAGAATTTTAACTGCAGATTGAAGCGTTTCTCGCAATTATTGTCGTCTTTTATTTCCTAAAATATAACATATAATAGGACATAATTATAATTATTTCATAAGATATATATATATATATATATACATATAATAATAAATTTCTGTTGCAGTTCCAGTCGTTCCATTGCCAGGACCTCGACCAGAATGTTATACAAACAGCGAATGTGCGCGCGATAAGCAATGCATAAATTCGCTTTGCGTAAATCCGTGTGTTGCTGGTGATCCATGCGGCAAGAGCTCTTTGTGCCATGTTGACAATCATAATCCAATTTGCAAATGCCCAATTGGCTATATCGGCGATCCTAAAACCAAATGCATACCACGTAAGAATTATATGAAATAAAAAATATATTTTGGAGAAATGAAACAATTTTATCTCATACTACAATATTTTTGATTGCAGCGGAGATCACGCCCGAATGTGTATCAAACAACGAGTGCGCAGGAAACTATGCGTGCGTTAACAATGTGTGCATTAATCCCTGCAACTGCGGACCCAATGCCAAATGTAACGTCATAAATCACTATCCTTCTTGTGTATGTTCTTCAGGCTATTCTGGAAATCCTCAGTTAGCATGTTTTAAGCGTAAGTAGCATTTATTCCATTTTTTTGTACAGCAAATGAAATTATAATATTTTGATTATAATAATTTTAAATTGGACCAATGTGAGATAAATCTAAATTAAGTAAGAGAACTCTATCAAAATCTTTTTCGGTCTTAAAACGCAAGAACAGAACCAGAATAATACCATATTAATGATAAACAATTTAATAATATAATTGATACTAATAAGCATTTTGTAAAAATATTAATACAGTCGATAGCAAAATTAAAGCATTACTTATCCTGCTCTCCAAAAATAGGTAAATTTCAAAAGAGTGTAATTTCGTTAAAAATGATCACAAAAAATTTGTAAAAAAGTATTTTAATACTTAAAATCTTTACTTTCGCAAATGGTAATTGATATTTCGATTTGATTAATTCTTTACAGAATTATACGGACACAAATGAAAGTGTGTCAAACCTTAAAAATTTTTACTAACTTTACGAAGTTCTATGACGTGAATTAAAAATCGCATAAAAATTCGGTTTACAGTATTCGAAAGCGTGGATCTTTACCTTTAATTACTCTTTCGTTGAGCTCTGTACGGTTTTTTTTTTACCGAGTTATTCAACATTAGAGCAAAAAGGACCACTTTTGCTTCAATGTTGAATAACTCGGTGAAAAAAAACCGGAAATAGCTCAACGAAAGAATAATTAAAAGTAGATATCCAAACTTTCGAATACTGTAAATCGAATTTTTATGCGATTTTTAATTTACATCATGGAACTTCGTAAAGTTAGTAAAAATTGTTAAGGTTTGACACACTTTCATTTGTGTCCGTATAATTCCGTAAAGAATTAATTAAATCAAAATATCAATTACCATTTTCGAAGATAGAGATTTCTAGCTTTAAAATGCTTTTCTACAAATTTTTTGTAATCATTTTTGGCAAAGTTACACTCTCTTGAAATTTTCCTATTTTTGGGGAGCAGGGTAAGAGATGCTTAATTTTGCTGTTGAGTGCAATTTAATGTTAATAAAGATCTTAAAACCTGTAAATAATTTATTGTTGTAGCCTTATAGCAATAAATTATTCGCAATTTTTAAGATTAATATGTTAATGTATTTATATTATAATATATTAACAGTTAGTATATGAATCATAACTGCGATTCACAATCAGTCGCATTACTAACAAGGAAACTTCACAAAGTGTCAAATTCTAATTGTAATTTTTAATTAAAAAATTTTAACTTTAATTATAGAGGCTATATGTACATAAAATTTTAAATAAAAATATTTAATAAATACTTTGTGAGATTTTTTTATAAGTAATGCAATACAGCCATGATGTTTTACTCATTATTAATGACGCAACTTAATCACCTTACTTAATAAGACACTATTCCAGCTAGATTACAAGAATTAAAAAAAATTTCTCAATTTTTAATGCATTTCTAATCGTACGATTGTCCATTTCAGTTGACTGTGAATCTGACAGCGAGTGTAACTACGCAGCTACCTGTTACAATGGCCAATGTGTGAATCCTTGCATCTTGGACAACAAATGCGCTATCAACGCGGAATGTTACGGCAAGAATCATCGTTCGGCTTGTCGTTGCGGTGTGGGTTACTACGGCAATCCGCAAATTCATTGTGAGAGAGTTGAATGTAGTACTGACCACGATTGTCCCCACAATCTGGCTTGCAATGACGGTCGCTGTATAAACCCATGCACTGAGAATTCACTTTGCGCGCAGAATGCGATTTGTTATGTCCAAGATCACATTGCATCGTGTCGTTGCCCCGAAAATATTCCAATGGGAAATCCATTCTCTTATTGCGAGCGGCATACAGCAGTGGAAATCGAGGAGCCTGAATGTAAAGTCGACATTGATTGTTTAGACAAGCTGGTGTGCATTCGGGAGAAATGCATCGATCCTTGCCCGGTCATCAAACCATGTCTCGAAAACGCTCGTTGTGACGTTCTCGACACGGTACCCGTAAGAACCATGATCTGCACCTGCCCTGAGGGTTGGATCACTGATGTCGACGGTGTTTGCAGGCCAAGTAAGCAAAGTTAAATTATTTGAATCGATTAATTAAAAAAAACAATATAGTATTTAAAGATTTTAATTGGTAATCTATAAATTATTTCAATTTTTATTGTAGTACAATTGACGGTCATTGGAACGTGTACGACAAACGACGATTGCAGTGACCGTGAGGCGTGTATTAACAGGCAATGTCGCAACCCCTGCAACTGTGGTACTAAAGCCACTTGCTACGTAAAGAATCATAAACCGATTTGCTCGTGCGAGCAGGGCTATCAGGGCAATCCCGAGATCGCCTGTCATTCTGTCGAGTGCCAACACGACAGTCAGTGCACGCTCGATAAGACCTGCAAAAATAATAACTGTGTAAATCCGTGCTTGATCACAGATTTGTGCGGTACCAATGCTGAGTGCTTCCCGAACAATCACGTGACCGACTGTCGCTGTCGTAAAGGCTATCATGGTAATCCCTTGGATCGTTGCCGCGTGATCGGCTGTTACAGCAACGGCGACTGTCCAGGCGATCACTCGTGCATTAATATGCAATGTATCAATCCTTGCATACATGATAATCCCTGCTCGCCTCGCGCGGAATGCAGGATCCTGAACCATTTGCCTATATGTCGCTGTCCGTCGGGTTTCACCGGAAATCCGTACATCAATTGCCAACCAGAAGTCAGACCTGAGTGCAGGGAAGACAGTGACTGTCCGGATTCACTCGCTTGTTTGAGCAACAAATGCCAGATTCCATGCCCGATCATACAACCGTGCACTGAGCCGTCTGAGTGTCGGGTTCTACCAACGCATCCAATACGCACCATGGTATGTGTATGCCCTAGTGGATACGTCAGCAGCGGCAGTGGTACCTGTCGGGCTACCAAACCGATTCTGAAAATCGAATGTACCAAGGATGATGATTGTCTTTTGGAACGCTCCTGCGTGAACGCGATCTGTAAGGATCCTTGCGCGTGCGGTCCTAATGCGATTTGCAATGTCATCAATCACAAGCCGATATGCTCGTGCACGCTGGGATATGATGGAAATCCGGATATTCTTTGTACAAGAGGTACTTTCTTGTTTAGATGAAGCCATTATAACTTTTCTTCCTCGTTTAAGAGGAACACACTACTAAAAAGTTATAATTTTACAATATATCAATTCTTGTATAATAAATTTCTAAGTTGTATTTTGATATTTAGTTGCAGGATGCAGAACGGATAGTGATTGCAGCGGTTCACACGTATGTATTCAACGTAATTGCGTGCCGGCGTGCTCGCCATCCTTGGCTTCTTGCGGCAAGAACGCTGTATGCCACGGCATCCACCATAAGGCTATCTGCGAGTGTCCACCAGGTTTTGGTGGCAATCCGCGAGTCTCCTGCGTCCTGTTAGGATGCAGGTCTAATTCCGATTGTCCTACCAATAAGGCTTGCATTAACAATCGCTGTGAAAATCCCTGTGTACAGAATCCATGCACTAGCAACATGGACTGCAATGTTTATAATCACGTTGTGGAATGTGCGTGTCCACCTGGCTATATCAGCGATGTTAAATCAGGATGTACTAAGGGTAAAAGAAAAATCTATTTCATCTTTCCTGAGAGCAATATATGTATATAATTAGTTCTTCAGTTTTAATTTCTCGCGCGATCTTCTTGCAGTTAAGGAAAAGTGCAGGGCAGACAATGAGTGTCCTTCCCAAACTGCGTGTTTCAACGGACAGTGCATCAATCCGTGCACTAAGATCGCACCGTGCGGTATTAACGCCGAATGTAAAGTTCTGGATACCAGTCCAATTAGGACCATGATATGCGAATGTCTCCCAGGATACCGTGGAAACGCGATTGTCCGTTGCGATCAAATTCCAGCGGAAATCTGTCCAATCGGGAAAGGACAGATTCGTGATGAATATGGCAATTGCGTCTGCCCGCCTGGATTCGGTAAAGACGCAAATGACGTCTGCATACCTTGTCGCAGACAGTCTAACATGGTGATAAACGAGGAAGGCTACTGCGTGTGCGACTTAGAAAAAGGCTTTAGCATAGATGAATATGGTCGCTGCGTTTGTCCGACGCGATACGGATACGAAATAGATACCAAGGGATATTGTAGACAAAGTAAGCTGGCCATTTAATTTCTTGTGTCGATCATAAGATGTTTTACGATTCCTCGTTTCATTAATCTATCATTGCGGTTAATTTCAGTTGGTGTAATCGAATGCAGACGTAATGACGACTGCGCCGATGACAGGTACTGCGATAAAGTCACTCATACTTGCCAAGATCCTTGCAAGAAACAACAGTGTGGCGTGCACGCACTTTGTAACGCTACTAGACATCAAGCTATCTGTATCTGCGTTAATGGCTATTTAGGCAATCCATATACCCAATGCTGTACGTTAAAAGTTCATAAAAAAACACGTGGTCTCGATAATTTACAATAATTTATAAATTTATGTATATATAAGCTTTTAGAATGCACATAGACTTTTAAAATGTACAATTTTTTCGATCACGAATTACATCTTTTATAAATAATAACAAGCTAATCGATATGTAATTTTCATCTGAAAAATGTTTCAATGCTTATGTTTACTATTTTTTAGACGATAGAAAAGATGGCCGAACAGATTTCCCTAGACCGGAAATGGATGTAAGTTGTCTATCAGATGGAGTACAAGTCGTAATACATCTGCAAGATCAAGACTTCGACGGAGTCTTGTACGTTAAAGGTCGTAGCAAAGACGAACAATGCAGACGAGTTGTCTCGATACCAGCCGAAACTGATCATAAAACTGAAACGTTCAAAGTTGCATTTGGCAATTGCGGACTCATACACGTGAATGTTAGTTGAATAACATTGTGTATCATAATTGCATCAATGATTTGTTACATCAAAAGATATTTCTATTTAATTATCTTGATTCACTTTTTAGGGACAAGCTAGCTTCGTGCTCGTTATACAGAAACATCCGAAATTGATGACTTACAAGGCACAAGCTTATCATATTAAATGTATATACCAAACTGGAGAACAAAATGTTACTCTTGGTTTTAATGTCTCCATGTTGACGACTGCTGGAACAATTGCTAACACTGGTCCACCTCCTATATGCGTAATGAAAATAGTTGCACAAAATGGAAATGAAATCAACTCTGCCGAAATAGGAGATAATCTAATGCTTCAAGTGGAAGTTCAACCTTCAAGTAAGTACTGTATTTTACTACACTACTCAACAAAATTAAAAAGAATCACTTGTTCCATCATGCAAAAATAGGCAAATTTCGAGATAGAATAACTTCGTCAAAAATCATCGTATCGAGATTTTTAAAAAAAGCAATGAAGATGCATCAAATCTCAAAATTTTTTACGGCATTTGCGGAGTTTCACGGAGCCAAGTAAAAATGACTGAGTTATTCAACGTTGAAGTAAAAATGACCCTTTTTGCTTCAACGTTGAATAACTTAGTGAAAAAAAATCGTACAAAGGTCGATAAAAAATTTAATTAAAGGTAAAGATTCACTCTTTCGAAAGCTGTAAACCGCATTTGTGCACAATTTTTACTTGGCTCCGTGGAACTTCGCAAATGCCGTAAAAAATTTTGAGATTTGATGCATCTTCATTTATGGTTTGTGTAACTTTATGAAATATCAGTAATACGATTTTTTAAAATACAGGTCTGAAAAGTAGAGATTTCAAGCTTTAAAACGTTTTTTTTTTTTAAATCTCGATACGATGATTTTTGACGAAGTTATTCTATCTTGAAATTTGCCTATTTTTGCAGGGTGGAACAAGTGATTCTTTAATTTTGTTGAGTAGTGCATTAATAACATATCGTGTGTAATTTCAATTATTTAAACACCAGCTTAATTTTGCTGTAACATATGAGAATAAATGATAATATATTGCAGCTATTTATGGTGGATTTGCGCGAAATTGCGTTGCTAAAACAATGGAAGATAATTTAGAGAATGAATACATCGTAACGGATGAGAACGGATGTGCTACAGATCCCACGATATTCGGAGAATGGGAGCAAAATCCTGAGACTCAATCGTTAATGGCTAGTTTTAATGCGTTCAAGTTCCCTAGCAGTGATAATATAAGATTTCAGTGCAATATACGCGTATGCTTTGGACGCTGTCAACCTGTGAGTACTCAAAGATTGTATAATCATTTCAAATATATTTTAACATTGGATGAAATACCAGCTTCGACAAAAAAAATATTTCTTTTATCAATAGGTAAACTGTCGTGGTTATAATGCTTTTGGCCGTCGTCGTAGAGACGTTGATTCCGATATTAACGACACATCTCTAAGTGTATCCGATGGATATGAAGGTCAACTTCGTGAAGAGATAACTATTCAATCGAATTTAATATTCACTCTGGAAAGAAGAGAGGAGAGGTATACAGCAGATCCAGCTGAAGGTAAGGCATAACATCTGTATAAAACTACTGTAAAAGATTAGTAGCTTGAAATGTGGCAACTAAAGATTCGGACCAAAATAAAATTTTCGTTTGATTACGGTCACAGGCTGTATCCAAATTTCAATGTCGGTTCTTTTACCGATAAGTTCGGATCTACAATAGATTTTTAAGCCTTATGTCATAAGAAATGGACGAATTACAGCCGATTATTCTCCTCGTATTTGACTGTAACTGATCAATATCTTACGACTTAAGGCTTAAAAAATATCTATTGTAGATTCGGACTAATGGTTTCAGTCTTTTTCGCTCTCTAAGGTCGAAATCAGACTACGCATTGAAGATTCAGATTGAAGATTGAAATTTGGCAAATCACAAAATAATAGGAGCTAAAATTCCTTTATTCTCATTGGTCAAATTTCAATTTTCAAAAAGTATTCTAATATAAATGGCATGAAAATGAGCAATTTAAAAAGTCGAGCATATACCACACACTGGATCGTGTTAGTGAAATTTATCAATATTCTAAAGTAAAGTTACATAGAAGTTTCGGCCCTGAAAGTGGCCATCCTCAGTATACAAAAATCAATAACAATTAATACATAAAAATAATGATAAGAATCGAAAAGAATTATTATTAAAATAAAGATAAGAATCGAAGAGAATTATTATTAAAATGTGTACAAGTTGGTCATTATAATCATATAAAATTTCGTAATTTTATAAAGTGTGTGCGTGCGTGCGTGCGTGCGTGCGTGCCGTGTGTCGAGACAAGTGTTTGAGCCGCAAAATTCTTTATAAATATGTTGAAAGTGAAATTAAGTGATTCATTGCAAGTCATTTAGTAAGTCGTTGTATTTAAATATAGTACTTGTTAAACACGTTGGTTAAACACGAGTTCTCAATCTCTTCTAAGTTTCATACAGATAGTGTATAATTATTTTTTGAAGACCAATTCTTGTCAGGACATGGTCAGGAAATTATATTTTGACAAGCAAAGGAGACTTATTAGCGTTTCGTTCCAATTTACAACAAGAACAACATAACTAACGTTCGTAGGGATATGTATGTTTAGTAGCTGTTGACGATCATACATACCGAAGAGATTAATAAATTCGAATCGAAAACCGGACTGAAACCAAACCGAAAAGCATTTTCAAGTTACCGTTTCGGTCTATTAGTCTACACAATGGTTGCGTTCAGCAGACTCAACAGTTTTGCAACCGTTTTATGATTTGTCTCGCTGATTGGATTATACTTTTAGATATAAAGGAATAGTCCTGTTTCAGCGAAGAATCATAAAACAGTTGTAAAACTGTTGAGTCTGCTGAACGCAACGAATATTTCGGTCCGAGTCGCTGGTGGCAAGTATATTGAAATAATTTACTGTCACTTTTTACAAGAATCGGTCATCTAAAAATTAATTCATAAATTATCTAGTGTGATATCTAGCCACATTTCAAGCTATTATCTCGTACGATAATTTTTATGCTCATTAAAATAAAAGAAGTAATTATTTTTGCGATTTCTTTCAGCTCCTTCAGCACAAAGAGTGGAAGATATTTGTGTTTCTATGGTCGGCTTTATCATAGCGTTAATAATTACGGCGCTTTTGGCATTGGTTGCTGTAGCTATTGCTGTGTCATGCTGGCTCATGGCGTATCGACGTCAGCCAAAGACTGCTGGACCACTGCCACACCCACCAGAGTTCCCAAATCCCTTGTTCACTACTGAATCTGTAGCTGAACCTTCTCCTGACTATCACCTATCATAAGTTCGTTAGAATAATATTTTATAAATAACGTACATTTTTTATAATTCTCGTGGAATGCATTTCAGACCATTCGTCCTATTGGTCGGTTTTGTATTTCGGTGTGCAACTCCTCCAGTGACTACCACTTCGTCTCTTTCTACTCTCTTTTCAAGGTTTCAAACAATAGGTTTGTTTTTTGTTTCTCCAATGTCTAAACTAGTGCACAAGTAGTTGCACACAGTGCAACAAGTTAAAATGAAATAAACATATATTTGTTTCACTTCAACTTATTGTACCGTGTGTACTAGTTCAGACAGTGCAGGAACAAAAAACAGACCCAATAAGTCACTGTTACACATTATGAGTCACGATATATACATATTATTTATGGTGATGGGTTCGCTTCCATTATCTATTTGCGAGTAAAAACACGGGACTATCTCTCCTTTCGTGTATTTTTTCTGTATTATTTTCTCTAGTCAGTGGAGGATTTGTTAAATATAATACTGTGAATTTTTAATTCCTGTGTAAAGTCAACGAATTAGTCTAATATAGCTTTCTTACTATAAAAATAGGTAATTGTACATTTTCTCTAATAAATCGCTAATGAAATATTTTTAAAAATTTTGTTATCGTTTATTCTTTTTTTTTCCTTACCCTGTTATGTATAATTCAAGATGTATAATATATATGTAATTATAAATAACACATAATTTTAACACTAAACGTACCACGACCCGGTCAAATGACCGGTTGTAACTTTTGATTAGAAAATTCGCATAATATGTTATCGCTTTTTCACATTTGACTTCATGATTTTTTCTATTAAATATATACAATTAATTTTACACCATTTATTTATATTTTTATTTGTAAAATCTGATAAACACGTGTAGCCTAGCGTTATTTATCACGACAGGTCATTTGACCGGTTACAGTACAAATAGGTATATATTAAATCTCGGTACGTTTAGTGTTAATTTATTTTAATAACTACTTATATTTATAATACATATGTGTATAAATGTCTGATAATATTATTAAATATTATATAAATATTATATTATTTTATTATCGAATAAGAGAAAGCTAATGTAATATCAATAATTCATATAATTTTTATATCGTGAAGTGTATTTAATACAATTTATAAAAACGCAAAATTATATAAATAATTTTACATACAATTTAAGCTTTATTAATCGATCTTAATTTTAATTTGCTTTACGTTACCATAAAAACAACAAAATATCTTCTTAGAAATTATCCTCGTAGAAAATATCTTCGTAGAAATTATCCTTTAATAACTGCGATTGGCCGCAATTTAATGCATTTCTTGGAAATTCCAGCTGCGTGACAAGTGTTGACAACGTCTGTTACATTTTTATAAGATTCCGGTGCTTCCTCCATGACTAATTTTGGTGACGCAACTCGAATAGATATGCCTAACTCTTCTAATTTTTCCAAAACTTTCATATAATCCAAGTTTCTACGTGACTTTGCTCTTGAAAGAGCACGACCCTGTACATACATATATTTTTTGTATATATGAATACAGCTTTCATATTTTCTTCCATGTAATATAAATATCATTTATATAAAGTTATTTGTAAAATTAAATCACAACAAGAATTTACATATATTGATAATGAACATGTGTATTTGCAAATATTAACAATTTTACAATTTTTTAATTAAAATTATATTTTATTGTCTATATAACACTGGTCGACAAAATTTTGCTACAAGAGTAAACCCTGCATATTCTCATAGGAATTTGTCTACAGATTACGAATCTGTAAGTGAAACTTTTCCGTCACGTCTGAATTTTTAGAAAAGTGGGGTTAAAGTGTCAAAAAAACGCGTTTTTGGCATTTTTCACAGCATTATAAAAAAATAACCATACGTGACAAACAGTTAAGATAGCTCCTAAATGAAAGCTTAAACCTTCAACTTGTAACCCTCAGAAGCAAAAACCCATGTAGCTTTGAAAGTTGATTTAGTTCTTTAGTTGATTTTATACATTTATTTTAAAAATATATTATTTCGATTTTTTATTTTCTTCATGTTTTTTTTATTTATTACATTTAAACGTATAGTTTTTACAACAAAAATACGTACATATTTTCCTAACATTGAAATACAGTATCTTTTACATTAAATAAATTAACAGTTGAATAAGTCACAGAATTAAATGACACTTCCACATTTTTTTTCAATTAAATTGCATCACTTGAACTTATTTTCATGTTAAAATGAGAATTTTTTTGTAACTGCAGTGATTAAAAAGGACACATAAAAAGGCACAGTCAACTTAACATTGAACACAGTAACAGTTGCTGTGTTCAATGTTAAGTTGACTGTGTCCTTTTTATGTATTAGTGTTCTGTTTTTCTTGAATTCTATATCTTCTCTATCTTTTCACGTATGGTTATATTTTTTATAATGCTGTGAAAAGTGCCAAAAACGTGATTTTTTGACACTTTAACCCCATTTTTCTCAAAATTCAGACGTGACGGAAAAGTTTCACTTACAGATTCGTAATCTGCAGACAAATTCCTGTGAGAATATGCAGGGTAGTAAACTCTTGTAGTAAAAAAAAAGGTAAATTTTGTCGACCAGTGTAATTTGTACTGAAGAAAACCAAAACAATGCAATGGTCAAAACATTTACATAAATTCAAATTGTCGTACATAACTTTATAATAAACTATTATTTTACGCATCTTTATCTGCGTTGGCTCATCAAGACTATCATTTCTAAATTATTTCTTATGAAAGTTTGAATTTTTAATATTTTAATATAATAATGTAAAGTTAAAATTACAATGATATAAATGATATATATGGAAATTGATAAAATTTCTATACTTACGGCACCATGACATGTTGATCCAAATGTTTCTTTCATACCCTGTTCTGTCCCAGTCAAAACATAACTACATGTACCCATTGTACCACCGATTAAAACTGGTTGTCCTGTTAACTGATAATCTACAGGAATCAAAGGATGATGCGGTGGGAAGGCTCTTGTTGAACCCTTCAAATAAAATACATTTATGTACATATTTGATAAGAATTGTTACATTTATTAATATCAAAATTAAGCTATCATTCACAGTTGTAAAGTATAAACGCTTATAAACGCTTACCTTTCTATGAACTAAAAGTGTTTTTTGTTTTCCTTCAACTAAATGCTCTTCTATTTTGGCAACATTATGAGATACATCATAAATAACATGCATGTCTAAATCATCAGGAGACGAATTAAATTGTTTTGCAAATGCCTATTAAAATATAGATACATTGTGTACAATTTTATATTTCTATTAATTACTGTTTATATATAATGTACATTTCTTTAAGATACCTGTCGGCTAAGGAATGTCATAGAACTTCTATTAACCCAAGCAAAATTGGCAGCAGCTGCCATTGCTTTTAAATAATCTTGACCTTCTTGAGATTTAATATGAGCACATGCAAGCTGCCTATCATTGGTTTCAATATTGTCACGCTTCATAGCTTTTTCCATTTGTACAAGTGCATCTGAAATGTTACTTTGTAGTATAGAACAATTTTCAATAGGTAATTTCACACACGCATATATATGTATATAAAGAGAAAAAGAAACAAAACACACGTATAATTTATAACCTGTAGCAACTTGATGGCCAAATCCTCTGCTTCCTGAATGAATCATAACACAAATTTGTCCTTTTTCTTCAATACCCATTTTATATGCAGCCCATTTATCATATATTTCATCTACTACTTGAATCTCTGCATAATGGTTTCCAGCTCCTAATGTACCTAACTAATATAAAATTATTTGTATATTATTAATAAATATTAGAGATGCACCGGATATCAGGAAAATATTAAATATCCAATAAATTTGTGGTTCCTATGCATTCCTAATAAATATTTAACTCTTTGTTGTATAGTGTTCTTTGTACATACATCTTACTCTCATCACAGTTTTGTACGCTTCATTTAATAACTGATTTCTATTACATATTTGGTATAGTTACGTTTCTAAGATTAGTGTGTATTTACATTAATAACAGAAATATTTATTTTACATTAACTGTAAGTTAGAAATAAAAGACCAATTAAAATTAGCACGTCTTTAAATTATATGAAAGAATGTTTAGTCACTATTATTATCTTTTTTATTTTTTATATCTTCAATAATTTTCAACAATATTTAAAAAAAAATTGTGTTGTTAAATTTTGATTACAGATTTCAAATCAGAAGTCTACAATATTTTTACTTATAAAATTTTATGTTATTAAATAGTAAATATACAATTATTTTAAAAGAATTAAGAAAAGAGCAATTTGAGAGATATCGATAAATATAAATAAGATATCAGTTACATAAAAATTAAAATATAATTACATCATAATCAATCTCATACATAACATTTATGCCATTGATTTTTATGTAATTATATTTTAATTTTTATGTAACTGATATCTTATTTATATTTTATCATATTTACATTTATTGATATCTCGAATTGCCGTTTACTTAATCCTTTTTATTGTTTTGACATCGAGAGATTTATTTACTTGTATTTACAATTATTTAATGTTTATTGTTTTCTTTATTTACTAATAATAATTATTAATTTATAGTTAATTTTTTTATCCAACCATTTTAATTTTTTAAATTTTGACTTCGGATTTGTAACCACTAACCAGCGACTTCAAAAACTCTCGTATAAAAATTCAATAAAATATGTTCAATAGAAAAAATTACGCAACTGGATTGTTAAACGATATAATTTTGTAAATATCTGTTATGTCATACTTGAGGAAGTCCACGTTTTTTAGCTCTCATGGACACTTTTGATGGATCGGCATTAAGCATTCTTCCATATTCTTCACAGTGTTCTTTATCTTCAGCCCAAATGTAACCTAAGTATATTTTATACAAGTATTTTTATTATTTAGCATACATTTCATCAGTAAAACATTTGTTTTTATCATATTTTTTTCTCTTACCTTCTCTCAAAGACCAATCCATTCCCATTTCTAATGCTTCCTCTAAATCCCGTGCATTCATTGGTATAATTCCTTTAGATCCAACACCAACTGGAATGTGATCAAACATACTTTGAGCAAGTTGTTCCTGGAAAGAAATGTTTGGAATTAAATAAAATGTATATCGCAGATGTACACATTATTATTATTTTGTAATGTATAAAATTAGAAAGGTCAATTATTAAAAAAAAAATGATATTACTTTTTCTGGCAAGACATCACTCTCGAATAAATTTGTTCGTAACAAACGAACACCACAATTAATGTCAAAGCCTACACCACCGGGTGATACAATTGACTTTGGATCATCCATATCAAATGCTGCCATATTACCTAAATGCAATATCCTTTTATTATTTAGTTGTTTCATTCATTTGATATATTATAGGTAATTATAGATTATATATAAATTATATTACAGATTATTATAAATTCTACATGTGTTAAAAAGAAATACAAAAAACAGAAGATGGTATATATTTTACCAATAGCAAAGCCATATCCTGAGTGTACATCTGGTAATCCGACAGATCTCCATACAATACCAGGCAAAGCAGCCACATTAGCAATCTGTTTCATTCCAGGAAGAAAGCCTCCAACTGCACCTGGCCGACATGCATTGCGCAACTCATCAAACATTAATCGTTCCAATGTGTTATTTACATAAAATACTCCTTCAACCTTTAATCATAGTTTGAGATTATGTAATAGAATAAAAATATGTAATATTATAAATAATAAGTATTAAATTTCATAAAAGTACTGATATACAGGGTAGGCTATTTTAATCAATACACGCGAATATCTCAAAAAAGGTATAGCAGGATAAGGAGGTGATTTCAAGTTACAGCACGTAATTGATTGACACAAAATTAACACACTGATAAAGGAATATTTTGTGGAAAGTTTCATCCCAAAAGAGCCACACCATTTCGAGATATTGAACAAAATGTGATTTTTCATTAGTATTTTTTTTCTCCGTTAAATCTAAACCTTTACAAAAAAAATTATGGGTGTAAAGAATATTAAAAAGATCAGAGTAAGAATTTTTTTGTCATTCTTGGCTCAAAATTTTGTTTTTAAAAAATTCAAAAATTTTTTTTAATTGAATTTTTTATATGATCTGAATGTTTTACCACTGATATTATCGCTGTTTAAAAATAATAAAAATTTATGCTAAAATTTAGTGGCAAGTTTTTTTGCCTGGAGTGTATGTATACATATAGTGACAGACGAAAAACATCATGTCACAACCCGTTACATGTGAGTACTATCGCAATATATATATATATATATATTTTCCTTAATATCTAGTTTGTTTTTATGTTTTATATATATGCATAGTAAAAAATAATTACCTTCATGTTAGGTTGAAAGCCTTTCTTGATTCTCCAACAACATTCATTTATTTTCTCCAAATAGTTAAGCTCCTCATTATATTGCCTTACAACCATTTTTCTAAAAAATAAAAAAATAAGATTGCATGTAATGTAAAAGATATACTAATAAAGGACCCTGCACAAATCTTATGTAAAATAGCAACATTATATATAAAGATGTTGTTTTATTTAATGATTATGTATGATGTAATTGTGCTTAAAAATACAAAGAATATCTGACAGAAAAAGATTCGTTCCATCTTATGCCACACAGCGCACAATATATTATATCATTTTATTAATAAATTTCGCTCGTTTTTTGTAATGTAAATTAAAATAAATAAACAGTCTGTATCGAACTAAATGAATCTAACGTTGTTCTTGAATTTTATAATATAAATGAGAACATAAAATTAACTAAAGTATCATACGTTTCGGAACTCACAGGTCCTTCTTCAGCGAATCTTACAGATGTTTGTGTCATTAGATTGATATTTTCTTATGATGTGTGATGATGTGATATGGATATGCTGATATAACAAGAGTGTATTGTAAAGGCATTACAATGCATTGTAACATCTACGTTCAATTTGATCGAACAAATTTTAATGATAATCCTGTCTCATATGCCTTTACAATACATTCGCATTGAGAACAGGAAAATTAATCCGAACTATAATTGTTATATCAGCATGTCTGTATCACATCACCACACATCATAAGAAAACATCATCAATCTAACAATATAAACATCTGTAAGAATCGCTGAAGAAGGACCTGTGAGTTCTGAAACGTACGACACTTTAGTTAATTTTATGTTCTCATTTATATTATAAAATTTAAGAACAACATTAAATTCATTTAGCTCGATATAGACCTTTTATTTATTTTAATATTATTTTATACCTTCTTAGTTAAAATATTCAGTGAACAAGGATAAAATGATACATTATACACATCAAATGTAAAACAGAATACATTTAGATCAACGTATTCTAATCAAGATGTAAAATGATGTAAAAGACCTTACATATTGGTTCCGAGACACTATGTACTGACATGCATCTCTTTGTGTGCATATATAATACAATACTTACATAGTACTTACACACAATTATATAAACAATTCTGAAATGTACAACCCAACTCCAATCTTCTGATAGATCTTCTGTTATTAACTTATTAGTGTTATTCCAGTTCCTAAGATCTGTTCTTTATAGCTACACTACCTGGACTATCGCACAAAATGCAATAAATTGAAGTGAAATAAATATACGTTTATTTTGTTTCAACTTATTCTTTCTCCATCTGAAACCTCGGACCGATTTCTAACATCGTGGACACAAACAATCGCTCCAGTGAATTATAATACCACGACTCCACAGATAAGCTAGTAACCTTATCTCCTCGAAGCGGGTAGAGAAGAGAATGCACTACATATTTTCATTTTTATATTTATAATTATGAATTTGATTTCGTATATTAATTTATATTATTTTTAGAGCCGATTGTTCCATCTTTCAGTAAATATCACCTTAAAGTTATGTAAATTGAATAATCTTGCTACTTACCTATAGCAGGTAAACTTTACCAAAAGATGGAAACTTCCATAAAAGCCAACCGTCGGTCTATAATAGCATCTCGTCGGTAATACAGGCATAGTCACCTATATAGGTCATCTTTTATATAGGTCAACCGATGGTGAAAGTTAAGTGAAAGTATCCTTCCACCACCCAGGTAACCAAGCGTGTGACACACATACGGGATACTACTATCGTATTGCTACTGCACTGCCACGAGATGGCGGTATATGGCGTAATTGCAGTAGCAGTACAAATATGGGTCAACCTATATAGGGCATCGTTAATCGATATCAAGGGGGTCAATCACGTAACTTTTTCTCTAGGGCGGAAACGTGAAAAGTGAAAACTTTTATGATTGTATGTACATATGAACATATACATACATATATGCAAAAAATTTTCACTTTTCACATTTCCGCCCTAGGGGAAAAAGTACGTGATTGACCCCAAGGTATGAGAATAAGGGTGTACGCACAATAGGAGAAATATAAGGAACAGATATTTAAATATAAGAATTTTAACCTGTCAGAAAGCGCACATTCCACAGTACACAGTTCGGATAGGTTAAGATTCTTATATTTAAATATCTGTTCCTAATATTTCTCCTATTGTGCGCAGCCCTAAAGCTGCCGGCTGCACATACCTTTCGTAACAATAGGGAGTTTTTGCAATATCGTTTTTATCCCTGATACAGTGAACGCTAAAATTACGTTATCTCTTTCTTTACAACTAATTAAGAAATTACTTTAACGTTCACAGTATCTGGGATAAACGGTATTGCAAAAACTCGCTAGTGTGACTTTAGCGTTTATTGTATCAGGGATAAACGGGTTACAAAAACTCCCTAATAACCATAAGACGTAACGTAAGAATAAGTCAATCACAGTCGAGAATTCTTTGAACTCTTAATTTTGATTGGCTGATTCTTACGGTACGTCTTACGGTTACTGTTACGGAAGGTATGTGCGGGCTCCTAAAGGCTTTGGCACGTGAAAAATTTAAGTTTAGGGTGCCGTCACATACAGCCCGCAATCCGTAATCCACACCGAATGTTCGCAAAAGTTAGTAGGGATTGCGTCCAAAACGTTACGTGTATTTTATCTCCTTATGTCCCATGGAGCCGTAATTCCGTAAATGTTACCAGTTTTTACTAGTATTGCTTTTTCTAATATTTGACTAAATTTGACGGTTTAAGTAAAGTTTTTGTTATAATCAAGATATATTCTGCAGTTTTCTTAAGAAATAAATTAAAAATAATCGATATAATTTATTAAATAAAAAAATAATGTAAAGCATTACTAGTAAAAACTGGTAACTTTTACGGAATTACAGCTCCATGGGACATAAGGAAATAAAATACATGTAACGTTACGGACGCAATCCCTACTAACTTTTGCGGACATTCGGTGCGGATTACGAATTGCGGGCTGCATGTGACGGCACCCTAAATGAATACACCAATAATAGCGAGCGCTCACTCAACTGTTGAGTTCGCAGAACGCGACCATTGGATTCGCTACTGCTGCTTCTTACGTATGGTCTTAACAGTTATTACTGTGATTCCTAGTCAACAGAGAGAGAAACCTGAGAGCGGCCATGGCGGCCTTTTTCCTGTAATGCTTTACACTAGCGGCACCGTCCATTTTCGAGCTGCGTATCACGTTCATCATCGAGAGCGAGCGAGACAGCGAAACGCACGTCACGATCGCTGCTAATCAATACTTGCTGAGAGAGAAATGGGGGAAGGAAAGAGAGACAGAGAAGGGGGAAGAAAGAGAGACAGAGGAGGGATGAAAGAGAGACAGAGGAGGGAGGAAAGAGACACAGAGAGGGGAGGAAAGAGAGACACAGTGGGGGGAAAGAGAGACAGAGAGTGAAAAAGAGAGGGGAGGGAGGGAGAGGGGGGGTCTTTTGTTCATGATCACTTTTTAGAGTATTATTTTTTACTACATTGATTTCTGATTTAATTGACTCGCAGCATTGCATAAAATAAAGAATGCGGACAAATATTTTATAGATTTATAACGATTTTTGTAATATTATATACTTTATAGATTATAACAATTTTGTAATATATTCACTGTAACATTGAGAATGACCCGACCGAGGTAATACTTTTCATAATAAATTTACTTCACAAATTGAATAACAAATAAGTATATAAGTCAACGCTGGCTGGTATTGCGAAAAATCTCTTGGTAATTTTTATCATCAATAAACACTATTAGATTAAATTTATTAAGTGTATTACAGTATTTTTAAGATTACATCTTAAATCGGTCCTATTTTCAGTCATATTATAATTTTTTTCAAAGTTTATATTAATTTTATATTTAACATTTGGTATGACAATAAATTTTTTCATTTTCCATGAAATATTAAATAATTTTATTAATATCCACCTATCTAAGTTAACTGAAACTCTCATACATTTATACATGACAATACATATATTATTATACAATTACATATTTCTGCAATATACCTAGTAAGGGCAGAATAAATTAATTCTGGCCACTGAGAAATTTTGACATGAAATCAGTTGGCTTTTTTTCCCATGTTTCCTTCCAGTAATGCATAAGTGCTCCTTTAGGTTTCCATATGTTAGCTACCTCTTGCAACTCCATTTGACCCTATTAAATTATATAACTTTATATATTATATACCGATGAGAAAAAGCCATTTATGGTCAAGCTGGATCTTGGATGCTACAGGTAATATTTTTCACAATGTAATTAAATTATTTATAGACTTTTAATAAGCTATTCATAGATTTTAATATGTCATGCAATATATTATTAAGATCCAAAATGCTATAAGCATAAAAAATTGTTAGATTGTCAGTCAATTTAACTTGTGATATTACTGCTGTAGCTTAGTTTACGTTGTAAGTCTGAAAAAATTTTGACGCGCAATTAAAGATCTACATACGTAGTATATAAATTCACAAGAAATTATATTAGAAGCTTCCAATATCCAGCTTGATCATAAATGGCTTATTCTCATCAGTATTTAGTTTAAAAACTCTCATGATCCAAATAAGATTTGATATTGTTTACATAATATGTTGTAAGCAAACTTTTCAATTATTAAATCAGTATAAATGCTATCCATAGACTTTTTATAATTTGTATAATATACTTTTTGCATTATACAAAACTATTTGTGTATTATATGCAACATTTATTTTAAATATATCATGGCCAATATATTCCAACATACACACTGTCAGTGCTGACAAAATATAGTATATACATACATAATAAATTATAAATTTTCAATATAAAAGCACATATCAGAACACAGTCTATAAAATTCTTTCAACAGTATGTATATACTACATGTATCATGATTATTTGTAGATAATTAAAGTTATATTAGTTGCTGGTATTTATTTATATAGATTCTTATTCTTACCCTTATAATAACTTTGTCTATAATCCGTAAATCAGTAAGATGAGCATGGCGCTTAAACTCCTCACGTATCTTTTGTTTACAAGCCGCTTCATTTTTGGGAATATCATAAACTAACTCTAGAAAAAAAGAAGTAATCATTACTCGTTTGAGAACACAAAAAATGAATTAACAAAATCGCAATAGTTTTATTCAACTGAAAATAATTGTTTTATATTATTGAAAAGTAACGTACTAAGTAATGAGTATATTGGTAAGATTTAATGTATCATATTAGATGAAGTGTAGGTAAGACGTGAACACGATATTTAAACAATTAGAAAGAATAAATGAATGGTCGCGTATTATAGGATGTAGGTTAGGATATAGGTAATGAATGAAGAAGCTTGCAATTTGCAACATATGACAACGAGAGTAACGTACTTGAGATTGGTACTTGACGGATCCATGCTTTGTACAACTTAAGAACTTTTCGACGTGCATCGTCTCGATTTAAAGATAAAATTGGTTTCACTTGACGAACGACACTGGCAGCTCGACTAGCCATTTCAGTTCACTAACCACATACTAACACCGTCGATTCGGTAGTCAGTTGTCTAGCTGTCCGACTGCCGTCGCTGCCGTCGGCCGTCGGCTTTTGTGCATCGGCCGAAAGCGACCGTCTGTGTTATTAACTTATTTCTCAAAAATCTCGATATTTTAATGTCAGATTAAAAATGAAAGTACACATTTACCTTTTCGTGATATACGAAGATATAATTTCTAATTATTGTATTATACATATGTACAATACATGTATTAATACATGCAAAAAAGTAAGTGAGAACTGGGAAATGTTCGAGGAGCTTGCCGTCGTCAGTCTATTGCCGCGTTCTAGCCTATGTTTTACATTTCTAATGAATAATGAAAAAAGAGAATAACGCAATAACTACACACACACACACACACACACATATATATATACATATTATCAATGTCATCGACCCGGTTAACGCGACTGCCATCACTGCCAGACACTGCCATCGGCACGATCGGCCGTCGGCTCGTACGTTATGAAAGATGAGAGAATATACACTTTCTCATTTTTATCCCGATATGATAGAATCTATAAATGATTATCACGGTATAAGTCTCATTCATAGAGCAGAAATTTTTAACGGAACGGACTTTTGCGGAATCAATACGCGCGTACGACGAATCACAGCCATTCTCTCCGTCATCTTTTATAAAATTCTCTTTTCCTCTAAAATCCTGTATCTCCTGGAGCGAAAAACGAAAGCGGAACAAGCGGAATAATATGACATCGGATTATTTACGATACTTGTAATAATAAAAATAAGATTTTAATGTAAATATAATAATATTGTTACGCCCGCACGATCGATTCGCGAATTCGAGCAAGCTCGCGCTCCCGCGACACGGAAAATCAAATATAAGATTGCGGAAGAACACAAAAAACTCCCTTTATTTTGAGCGATACAGAGCGATCGGAGAACGGAAAAGCAGGAGCTGACGTGACACGTTCGATTCGAACGAAGCAACGGTCAGTTCCAAACGGTTTATTACCGAAAGATGTCGTTTCGACAACGCGTTCCTCCATTTCGAAACGGGAACAATCCGACGGCCGTCGGCACGGAACGGGCATAACAACATTATACGAATAATCAATACGTTAAAGGGCGAAGTAAAAGAGTCAAATTACAATTAAAAATCTAAATAACTCTGATAATTTATTTTAATATATTGCGAAGAATATCACGTAATTTTTGGCGTTTTATCCCGGTTTCCACTACTGGAGACTCATCAGTAAGGCATTGTTATGGAAGCCTACCTTTTATACGCCTTGGTAAGTTATTAAATCGAGATTCTATATAAAGAGATATACGCGGGTCTCAGCACTTACGAGAATTTACGAATATCGCTAGACCTCTGCGATGGAGAGTCAACGTAATAATATTCTTCGCAATATTGATTTAAAATAAGAAATATTAACGTTCTATTAATATATGTAGTCCCCCCAATATTATACGAACTGAGATGAACAATACAAATTCTTTAGCAGTAAAATATTTTTAACATAATTGTATTTTAGTCTTTTTAGTCTGTTAGTCTCTTAATCAGTTAACTCCATCAATATACGTAAAAGAATAAAAGGAAGGCGGAAAATAACAGCGGAATGTCTTTAGGTCACCAAATAAGAATAAGAAAAAGAAATAAATTATAAGTTCGTCAGTATTTAATGAAAATATAACTACAAGCGCGTGAGAAAAGAAATATACTCGATTATAACCGCTTGGTACAACAAAGTTTTTTATAATTTGGTCGCGGTATCACTTATTATACTTTCACGGAATAAGATAGTGAATTCTACGAAACGCGACTGTTCAAACACGCGTCAGCTGAGCGACTCTGTCTATCCCACATCTCACGCTCGCTTCTCGCCCGTTGCGTCTTTCGCGCAATTTCTATTTTCGGTAAATATTGTTTCGCGTGTATATTTATCTAGGTTGTCGTCGTTAATTTTAAACCATTAAATTTTATAATATCGTTTGATAATCCTTTTATTATAATGTAAAAATATGAATTAATATAAAAAGACGAATGAACGGGACATCCAAAATCGCGGGACCGCTAGGCGGATTTCGTGTAATCGCAAGGCACAGTCAAAGTCGGTAACACTTTTCAAAAATATGCCGGAAACAAGCACCCGACAAAGACGCGTCCGTTCAAGACGGGTGATGCCGGGTGATGCAGCAAGACTCGGGTGGTTACTGCTCATCAATGAGACATAGGAGAAAGAAAATAAACGGAATCATAGGATGCTTTCCTTTTAGATTACGGGATATATACGTGAAAGCAGTAACGAGATAAACAGTGCATATAAATAATCGTAAAAAATGTCGTTTGAACGATGACTGTAATATATGTCAACGGCATATTAAAGTTATTTGCAACTTTCGTTCATTCCGTAAATTGTAATCGGTGAAATTAGCCGTTATTAGAGAAAATAGCTGCAGCAATCATAGCTATTCTTATGAAGAATGGAATGGCTGTCGTTGACTATAGTTTCATAATTACGGATGCTGTCGCCGTATGTGTAACATAAGTCATTCATAGATTCTATCTATGTATTATATCGTTTCGCTATAGCGCGCTTTTTCATCTTTCACATCGCCAATCTTTCTCCACGGCCGAGTTGGGCCGACTGCAGCCGACAGGCCGTGAACGGACCGATTCGTTAGGACGGTAGTGGAGACTTGGAGAGCGGCAGTCGCATCGATCGAGTCCAATCGAGTCGACAGCGTTAGTACGTGAATGTTAATGCGTTATTTTTTTTTTTTAATTATTTTGGAGATGTAAAACAAGGATGGAATGGGGTAATAGATTAACAGTATGCTTCTCGAACGTAGTTCCCATAGTTCCTATACTTAGTTTTTGTAGATTATTAATTACAAATTATAATATCTTAGCATATCGAAAAGATGCGTATTTCCTTTTAAATTTGACGTAAAAATACTGAGATTAAAAAAAATAATTTAATCTATGCATACATTGATAGAAATGAACATTGGAAGAATGTAGCTCTTTATTTTTATTATTCTTTGTTCGAATTTGAATCGGTTACGCGTAGTGCCTAAAAAATTAAATTCTGTAATTTTTACGCGAAAACAGTGGCAATTTTTGCAATATTTACAAGTTAGGAGCACAATTGTCAGGTCTTTGGACCATTCTTCGGTTCTTTGGCTGACAGGAGAAATCTCCGGTTTTTCGCTCGAGTGAGGAATGTGTGTGTTTTTTTTGAAAACTGTATTAGCATTCGGTCGAAATAGCAAATTCTTAGTATACGAGCCTTCGAACCTCAGACCTAGCAATGGTTGTTAAAAGCTCTTAGGATTCCTAATAGAGCTTCTAATAGTCTGCACTTACAATAGTTTCAATTGTAGCCTTACAAAGTGATCGCTCGTCTGTAGAAACTCGTTTTAGGGCACCAACTTATTCATATTGTTACGCCTCGTCGACTCGTTCGGCGAGACTAAGCAAGTGGTCTCGAGATTTGAGATCGGGCTCGAGCTTACCCCGAGATTTGAAGGATTAAGTTAACATAGAGAGTAAAGAACTCAGAGATGGACCGGAAGACGTAGAGCGACCGTGGGCCGAGCGGAAACACACGTCGTCTCTCATTCCGATAGTAAAAGAGAATTGTTACGCCGCGTATGTGTTAATCGTAACGCGACGGGTAGCAGTGACAGAGTCGTTGGGTGAAATCCTAACGAAGCGAGTTGCAGAGGGAATACGCGACTTCCAGTCGAACCGCGATACTATAGCTACGGACGGCCAGTGTGTAGCAGATAAAAAAAGGGGGATACGGAAAAGTTCGCTCATTTAGGCAGCGCATAGTTCCTAGCCGTAAATATGGGGGAGGCTAATCATCGGAGGGAGCCTACCGGCGACGATTAAAGAAAAGAAAAAGTTCTTATGTCGCGCGGTAATGTTTAATTATTGCGCGAGAGACTGTAGCGATAAAGTTGTTCAACGGAATATTTTGACGAACCGAATCGTAGCGAGAGAGCACGCGACCCTCAATCGGACCGTAATGCCAGCTACGAACGGCCAGTGTCATAGTAGATAAAAAAAGGGGATAAGTTCGCTCATTTAGGCAGCGCACAGTTCCTATAGCCGTAAATATGGGGAATAGGCTGCTCACTGGGGGACTCCACTCGCACTCGCACTCAGTCGCACACACTTAAAAGAAAAGAAAAGAAAGAAACAATAAGAACGATGGTTCATCATTGTTTACCAATTGCTTTATTAATGTAGAATTTACACATAAAAAAGGGGAGAGGAAGAGTCGCGCAATTAATCTATAAGTTATACCGCACTCCACACGAATGGAGACAAAAAGGGGCGCTATATACGCACTGCTCAATCGATCAATTCATTGAGTTTCACTTACGTTTTCGCGCTTTATACGGAAGATGAAATCCGGTTATTTTACGCGGAATGGTCGAATTTGCACTACAAGAGTCAACGATATAATAATCGGACGAACCGCAAATTATAGAGAATAACTGGTCGAGACGCTTTTTAGAAAATACGGACTTAACGCACGCGAAAGAGCTACTATTACTATCAAAGATAAAACAATAATGCACGAATTTTAGAATTACAATGACTATAATACCGAGTGATAGAATTACTATACAATAATGAGCAATAATAGAATTAAACTGAGCGAATGATAGGAGTACTATATACAAAAAGTCACTAATATGATGAAGAATAGCCCGTAATTGAATAGCCAATAATTGAGCCCGAGCGCTGGTTTTCGCTCGCTTATATATGTATAGAGCCAGCTTGGTGGCCGCGGTGTGCGGAAAAGCTGAATTTCCCCCGAAAATCGGCAATAAATCATGTTTTCACATATTAAATATCTCGCTAATTAGCGATCGCATCGTCTTGACACTTAGCATAAGTTTGGCTCGAATTGATTAAGGACATCGTAGGTGATTGATTTCTCTCTAGCGAGCGTGGAGGCGCGAGGATAAGGCCGCATCCTAATTAACAGTTTTTCACTATA